TGTATTTCTCTTCCATCTCAAGTTGTTTGGCCAGTCTGTAGAAGAGTATTTAATTAATAATTGAATTGCATAAAATAAAGAGGAGTCAATTAAGATGGTTTGAAGAAGAATAAAACAAGCAGAAGGTAGATGGAAAATTTAAGACTGTACTTCCTAAGCAAAAATCAAGACTTAGAGAAGTCATCAAATAAATGGTCAGAAGGCATCACTCAAGGAAACTTACTCTTTGGAAGGTTCTGTGGTGCTCAGAGACATGATTTAGCAGAGGGTTGTTAGAGTTATGGTAGTATGGTTAGGTTGTGGTTGGACTTGATGATCTTTAAGGTCTTTTCCAACCTGAACAACTCCATGATTCTATGATTCTTCTCTGTGAAAAGGCAGAGACAGTGGATAGTAAACTGATAAAGTTTACTGGTACTATATGCCTACTATGAAAACTCCAGCAATTGTCCTATTTATTTCTCTCTCTCATGCACATGGACAAGCTTACATAATGAATTTCATTCACATTGCCAAATTTTGGTTCACAAGCTGGGCTTTGCTGTTAAAAAGTTATTTTAGGCACATTTATTGTAAGAGTAAGCTGGTTCCATAGAATAAGGAATAATTATTAGTGCTCTAGAACAACCAAAGCAGAAAGCTGGGAATAAGTAAAAGCACCATTCTGACAAATTGTTGTGTACTCTCAGATTCCTAAAACACTGCATACTTGCTGTACACAACAATGCAAGAGCTGTGAAGCAAATTCTATTTCCTGCCGTGTAATACTGATGGAACAGAATGGCACAGCCCTGCAGAAGAGACAGAACGGGATACTTACACACAGCTCATGCAGTTTGTTTCATTTATCCATGGATAATGCTCGTACTGCCAGGCTCTGTCTCAACACATCAACTCTGATGCCCTCAGACTGCAGGAAAGCAACACTACTTCCATTTTTACAGACTAGGAAAAGACAAAACCAGAACGGGCCAGAGGCCAGGCAGATACAAGCCACAGAATGTACGATAAGTATTCTCAGAAGTCCCAGCCAGCTACTACCTAACACCAGAAGCACTTAAATATCAGCCCCTTAGTATCAAGTCCTAAATACACCAGATAACAATAACCAAGACACCAGTGGGAGACACACCAGCAGGCTCTACGCCTTTCCTCATCTCAGTAATTGTCTTAACCACTTGACTGGGGCACCATGCTTCCTCTTACTCCATTTCTCAGGCACAGAGTTTTCATTATTCCTGGCATAGCAGAAGAGCTTGAAGAGAAGGAAGTGACTCTACACTTCACTGGCCAGTGGCTGACTATGAGAATGCTCCCCAGGGAAGTAGAAAACTTGGCTTGGAATCCCCCTTCTGCCCCTGGGACACCAGCATGATGTCACACCACTCAGCACTGCAACAAAGGTCCTCATTGCTTTGGCTGCACGGAATGACTTACAGTACAGACCATTACAGGAACAAGGAACAGCCTCTAGGTCTCCTACATCTTACATTGGTATCTTCCTTCAACAGGCCATCTTCTTACCAGAGCTGGAATATGCACAAAGTAGCAAGCAGAAAGGCACTTCACATCTTACAGAAGCACCTGCAACATGCTTTTCAAGACAGACCAAATGGAAGTAATTCATTTTGTTAGAGGCCTAAGAAAACTGTGAAGACTCATGCCCACCCAAGACAAGTCTGGAATGCCATATCTTACTTGGCTTACCAAAAGATGCTTTCTTTTACTACTGTGTAAACCACAAACTCAGGCAAGTTCAGCATTACTCCAAGTATTAAACTTCTGTAATAATGAGCTTCCATACAGTCATCATTACAGCACGTAAAAGAGAAGTTCCTCACTCTTACATGAGCTGTGTGGACCTCCTTCAGTAAAGTTTTTGTTTAAGGCATTTGCTATGCATACTATATGTGAAAGGCTATTTTCACTTCAGATAATTTATACCATATTAAAGAACTATTGGTGATTTTATCATTGTAAATAACCTACAGAACATTTACTCTATACAGCAGATAAATCTATTTCACAAGTGAGCCTTTTATGACAGTATATAAAGTAATAGTGGAACTATAAAATGCTCCAACCTAAAGCATTTCTGCTCTGCCCAATGCAGTTCTAATGCTTACAATTTGCAGCAATCAATCTTGATGTCAAAGCACACAATAACCCTGTTTACAGAACTGGGGAGCCAGGGACAGAGGCCACCACATGTACAATATGGAACTTCTGCATCCTTGAGCATGTTGAGACTTCTCTTCCCGTGCTGCCCTTTGGTAGATGAAATGCAGGATTCTAGTAGAAGCACACTTTGCATACGTGGAGTAAATCAGCACGGAAGAACAACAGGATAGAAATCAAAGGCTTAACATTTTCGGGGTGTGGAGAGGATTAGTGACCTACAGTTGCTATGTGTAATTTTAGAGACACTTGCCCTGTTAACCAGGTTATAAAGCCAACAGTCAGTAGCAATTGAAGTCAGAATGGCAACAGTATTCTACTGTATGTGTTAGGGTAGAAAACATTTCCAAGAAAAAGAAGTCCAAAAGAACTACACAACTATCACAATTTCCAATATCAAATTGTCTTTGTACCTTATTTCCTTCCTAAGTTATTTGATATTTCTACTTAATGCTTTCCTTATTGGTTTCTAGGTTCCCTTTGGGGGAGGGAGGGGAGCTCTATTTTATCTTCACTCCCATTAGCACAGACAAGAGAGCACCTCTTCCTACTTCCTACTCTGCAGACACCTAATCATCTTTCATTGCAAGTTGCCACCTCTTTCCTCCAAATTCTCTATCCCTTCTCTTTTCCTCTTGTCTGAAAAAGAACATAAAAATATTAAAGACAGATAAATTGAAAAGTGTTATTTCTCAAAACAAGCATAAACAGATTTTCCCACTTACTATAGTATGGGCTTTCTGCAGGCAGAGCTGGGAGACCAGTCACATTCCCTTTGCCAGCCCCTTGCTGCTGTGGTTTCTATGCCACCACTTCATCACTGCAGGTTAAAAAAACCAGTACAATAAAACCTTGCATGGCTACAGCACTTTTCCTTATGCTACAGTCATACCTTTCCTTTGAAGCACAAACATACACAACTCTCCCTCTCTTGGCTTCTTTTCCCCATATCACATCTTGAAATCTCTGATTTCACTCTCTCCTACCACTTTTGGTGTTCCTGAGCCATAGGCAAAAAATGCCAGGAGGTTTTAAATACAAGCATCATATTCAGAAAGTACCCACCCACAGCCATTAACAAAAAAAAAACAAAAAAACAAAACCAAAAAAAAACCTTAAGTCTTGGCAATTCTTTAAAGGAACTGCGCACAAGAACACAGACATCTGAAACCAATGTGTAATGAATCGTCTTCAGACATCATAGGATTCAGCACCTTCAATTAAGAAACACTATTATAACAAAAAAATGGAATCCAGCTGTTGCATCATCTGAGATACTGCAAGAATAACACATTCTGATGTCTAATATCTATTCATACAAAGCCAATTCAGAATACTGGATTAGATTTCAGTCATACCTATTTTTAAACCGCCTTACTTTTTATCTTCAGAACTCTGATTGCCTACTTACCAATGTATTTTAATGCCAGTGATTTAACAGCAAAAGTCAGAAATTAAGATTGCTGGCTTTTTTAGCAATATCTACTAACATGGTATCGAAAAACACGGTCCTTCTCTGTCACTTAAACTTCATATTGTGGACAAGAACAATATAAAGATCCAAACCGCTGCAAGTGTTGAAATGCTTTAGAAAACAAACTGTGTTAGCATGGACTGGTAAGACCCCTTTAAGAATTTTTTTTTGTCACTGCTCTTAAGTACTGCCATCTTAAACGGTTTTCCAAGGTACCAACAGTAAATATGCTGACGTGATGGTGATCAATTCTCTAATTCTACACCAGAACCGCTTCCCAAAGCCAATATTACCAAACCTGATTGCAAGAGGACCTCTGGCAAGCCTGAAGACTTGCTCCTTCAGTACCCTCTTTGAAAGAGAATTTGCTCTGATACTGAATGCATTTCACCTTTCTATATCATAGGTAAAGCTACTGTTGGAAGCTCTGAATCAATGTCAGATTTCAGTAAAACACCTACCATTCTCTTGCTGTACCAAAGCAACTTTTCTAACCTCCCAGGGCAGTCTGCTTGCAATGCCCAAACTCATGACACATCAGTGTTTCCGTTATCAGGCTGTATTAAAGGGGTTTCCCAGCCTAGCCACAAAGAACTCTGATTCAGTCCAAACATCCAAGTACCTCTTGTCTTAACATCAAAACCCTCTCCCTAGGCATAATAATCAACATTTATGTCTACGTTACTCCATATATGCTTCAGTATGGACTGTCATTAGTAGAGACTTTGAGTCAAATAGTGCATCTTGAAGGAAAACATGCATTATGTTATCATCTCTTTAGCCGTAACTCCAACAATCAATGCATGCTTTACATTCATGCTTCTGTGTAAGTCAATACCCATTCTGAATACAGACTTCACTATTTCATATTTAGCCACTTATCCGCTGTGCTGCATACAGCCAGCGTGCCTTTACATTACACACTGAGCTCCGTTCTGGTCTATGAATGCAAGTTGAGATTAGTGCACAGCATTGCTACACATTGCATTCCGTGGGATGAACCAACAGTGAAAAATACACAGCTCTACTGAAGAATAAAAGCACACGCATCACAGTGCACAGGACTCTGATAGATCTCAGCACGCTAGTGAAGTCCCTGACTGCAAATTTCCAATTGTATCATCGGAACTTCCCACATTTACTACTACAGAAGCAGAAAAAAGATGAAGAATGTCCTAATGCATGGTACAGACCCACCCAGAGGGGCACACACAGCCTTTCATGTCACACACAGGCTCTGACTGGCAGAACATAAGATTACGCCTTTCAACATTAAGACCATCTCAGTTGTTTCTCCACACGTAATTCAGATCTCAGACACAAATAAATCAAGATGTAAATGCCTTACCTTCCTATTTTACAAGCCACTGCAGTTCTCAGATTATGAGTCAGTCATAGGTTCATCTGCAGAGGAATGACTCAGTATAAACTTTTAAACACTCATTATTTTCCCTAACCCTACAACGCGATCATTAATTTAAGCCAGCAAAACGCGATGCTGCAAAAACAACGCAGGAGACGGGTGGCGTAAAAAAAAAAATAAAAATAAAAAATAAAAACACCAAAGCGCTGCCCGCTCCCGCCAGACAGCGAGAGGCCGTTCGTTGCATGTAGGAAAAGTGGCTCCGTCCACAACTCCTCCCGCACCGCCGGGCCCGCTCCGTGCCAGCGGCGGCAGATGTCCCGCGCTGACCGGGGCCACCCGCCCCGCTGCCGGGGCTCGGAGCCGCGGAGGGCGGCGGACTCGCGGGGGGCCCCGCTCGGCACCGGGAGCGGAGCGGCGCGGCGGCTGTCGGCGGTGCCCCTTTAAAGGCCGTCGTCCCGCCCCCAGCACCGCATATGGAGGGAGCCAGGAGCGGAGCGAGGCTTCTGCATTCAAACGCCACATCAAACGCCGCAAGCGCCGCTCCCGCACGGCTCCGGGCCGGGCCCGACGGCGGCTCCCCCCGCGGCACGCAGCCCCCGGGGCGGCGGGAGGAAGGCAGAAAGGAAAGTGGGGGGAGGGGGGAGGGGGTGAGGAGGAGAGGTAAAAATCAGCGAGCGAAAACGGGGCACCTGCAGAGCGCCGAGCTGCCGAGCCCGCCTCGCCGCCACCGGGGTCCGGCAACAGGCGGAGCGCCCGGCCCCGCAGCGCCGTGCCTCGGCCGGGCGGGCGGCGAGAGCCGGGGTACGGCGCGGAGCCGAGGGAGCCCGAGCCCACCCGCAGCCCCGAGCCCCGCTCCGGCGCGGCACCCCGTCTCCGGGTCGAGCAGAGCCCCTACCTGCGTGCGAGCGAGCGTGCGGCGGCGGGGCGGCAGCCGGAGCCCGGCGAAGGCGACCGCCAGCCCGACGGAAAGTCCCTGCCGCTCTGCGCCGTCTCCCCCCGCCCCACACTTCCTCTCCCGCCCGCTCAGGCTGGAAATCCCCGGCGAAACCCGCTCCTCCTCACACACCGAGGGGCGGGCCCGGCCCGGCCGCTCAGCGCGCAGGCGACGGCCGGGGGCCGGGCCTGCCTTAGCCGGCTGCACCTGATGCCGCCGATACTCGGCACCCACCGCCGCGGGGCAAAACCCGGGGGGCCGAAGGAGCGCGGGGCTCGGCGCCACGCGAGAGGGGCGGGCCGTTCGGGGCGGGGGGCGCTGCTGGGGGGCTCGGCGCGGGGCCGCGGGCGGCTCAGCCTAGGGTTGTGGTCGCCCCAGAGACGCGCCCTGAGGCGCCGGCAGCGGGCGTTGCGGCGCGGCCGGGCGGGAGGGAGGCGGTGCGCGGCGGCCGTTGGGCCGCGCGGGAAGGCTGGGGGGGGGGTACGGCCCCGCTCTCCTCACAGCGAGAGGATCCGCACAAAGGGCCGCTTGGAAACGCGGTCGCCTTTATTTAAAAAACGCCGCTGGGGAGGGAAAAAAAAAAAAAAAAAAAGGGGGAAGAGGAAGAGGGATGGAGAAAAAAAAAAAAGAGAGAAAGAAAAGAAAAACGAGCGCGGGGAGGGAGGGAGGGAGGGGGAGAAGAGTCTGGAAAAGAGCAGAAAGGAGCCGCGAGCCGGGGCGCCTCGCCCCGGGCGGCAGAGCGGGTGCCGAAGCCCGGGCAGAGCCGGGCGCTGCGTCCCCGGCAGAGGAGGAGATGCTGCCGGCCGTTAGCAGCCCGGCCAGCCGGATGAAATAAATGCCTGCATCGAGCTCCGCTCGTACCGTGTTATGTCCTGATTAGAGCAGATGTTTGACAGGCGTCAGAGGTGTCTGTTTCACGCGGGGTGCACGACACAGCTTGTCGGTTCCCCGCAGCGGGCTGCGAGCGGCGGACGAGGCTCGGCCGTTGCGGGGTGCTCGGCGGGAGCTGTGCAAAGGGGCTGCAGCCGCACGGGGCTGCTGTGCTGGGCGGCGGGACGTGGGGAGCGCGGAGACCGGCAGAGCCGAGCACGGAGAAATGTGCTGGTGTTTGGCCGGTTTCACTGGGATGAGGTCACCGTCCTTTTTGTACGTTGTTTATCGAGGATCGCTAGGGAGGAACGGCGGGATGCGTGATCCTGAACGGGCGGGCTGCGCGTCATAGCCACTGCTTGCAGCATCTCCCCGTGTCCCCAAATCCATCCTGACCCTCCCTGTTCGATCCGCATCCCCCGCATCTGTGCAACGCCCACGCCAACTCGCCCGGCGAACCAAACATCTCCTGCTCCGCTGTGTCCTCATCAGACCCCAAACACGACGCTCGGCTGGCACTGCTAATTCCCTCCTCGTGTGCTGTTTTTCTTCCTCATCCCACCTCTCTGTTCTCCCCCCTCCTTCCCTCTCTCCCTCCTTCCCTCCTTTTGCTGCTGTCCCCAGGAAGAGGCTGGCATAGCTGTCAAGACAACTGCGCCTTTTGCAAAGATGCTGTGAACCTGTGATCGGAAAGACAATCTAAGACCGATGTCTTAAATGTTCCCATCACTTGCTCAGGATTGCTTAGCTCTGGCATGGCTGGCAGGACTGAGTACTGAGCCCTGATCTCTCCAGCAGCAGGGCTGTAAATAAGTTTCCATCATAAACACGCCTGCAATTTCCTTCCTTGCTGCTCTTTTTGCTGTTGTATGTTTGTCCTCTTGATTTGCCCTGAAAAAAAAAAAGAAAAAAGGGAAGAAACATAATAGGATTGCAGTGCTAATAGCTTTGACAGTTATACTAATGTAATCTTCCTCCCCTCCCCCTCCCCCACCAAAAAAGACCGAAAACAAATTCTTATACTATCTTTAAGATGTCAAGCAGAGGCTTTTCCATATTTAAAAGTGTCAGTAGCTGAAGTGTTGGTCTGATTAAATACCTCCCATTCCAAGTGCCTTGTTTTTTTCTGTGTCACAGTTACAAGATTTTAAAAAATTCTAATATCATAGAATTATGGAACATCTCAAGTTGAAGAAACCCATAAGGATCATCGAGTCCAACCCCTGGCTCCACATCGCACCACTCAAATCCAAACCCTGTATCTGAGAGCACTGTCCAAATACTCCTTGAACTCCAGCAGCTGGGACCATGCCCACTGCCTTGCACAGGCTGTTCCATGCTCACAGTCCTCTGGTGCAGAGCCTTTCCCTCACCCCCAGCTGCGACTCCCCTGACACAGCTCCATGCCGTTCCCTCAGGCCCTGTTGCTGTCAGAGAGCAGAGCTCAGCGCTGCCCATTCGCTCCCTGTGAAGTCTCTTCTGCTCAGGGCTGAACAAACCAAGGGAATTCACCTTGTCCTCCTTCCAGATCCTTCCGCATCTTCATAGTCTTCTTCTGGACACTCTCTAAGAGTTTTATGTTCTTTTTGTACTGTGGCACCAAAATCTGCACACAATACTTGAGGTGAGGCTGCATCAATGCAGCGTAGAACAGGACAACTCCTCCCAGTGCTTGATGCACCCCAGGACATGGTTGATTATTACAGCAATATGTTTCTGGTGGTGACCAACCTACGAGTGGTTTGGGATTTCATGGCATACCCAATGTTTCCAGTGGCTACTGAAGCATTGCCTGCCAGTGCTGCTGTGGCACACTGCAAGTACCTGCCATGCAGCGCTGCCAGCAGCAGTGCTTGGAACAACAGGAACTATGGCAAAGGAGTACAGAGTAGCACTGTATTTTAGTAAAATGGTTCAAAGAAGTAAAATAAGAGGACAACGATTTGGAAAATTATATGAGAGCAGAATTTTAAAAGAATCCACAGTAATACCAGCTGTAATCTATTACAGACTTGGGTAGAAACTGTTATGTGTAGAACTATGGAGAAAGGGGGACAAGTGAATATCACTATGGAAAAGCACAGTATCTCAGATAGAAAATCAGTCAGTGGATGGAAAATACCACTGGGAAGTTGCATGGCTTTAGTGTGAGGTAAGCAAGATTCTCAAGCAAACAGGGGGAGTCCATGACAAAGGAGGCTGGTTTAGGCCTTGTATTAATAAGCAGAAGGGCCTTGTAGAAGGCCATAGTATCTAATCTTATCTTGAACTGAGTAATCACAGGCTAATTCAGCTCCTGTTAAATTGAAAGAGGGACAAATGTGGATCTGTCTAAGCTGGGACACCACAGAACTTAAAGAAAAATCCTCACAGAGGGACCAGGGGAGACAAAGCTGATTTTTACTCACAGATATTGAAAGAAATTGGCAAATAAAATTACAAACTGAAAAACAAGGATTTGTTCAAGGTTGGGAGTGGTGAATGGAGAAAGGTGGTGATGATGGTACTGTCTCTGGCCCTTCCACGTGGGTGCATCACTCAGTGAGAAAACAACTACAAGCTGCCAGCATGCAGAGCCATGGAAAAGGCTTGTGTGAGCCTGTGATGCACCAGCTGGGGTATTTTTAGTAGAGACAGGAGCGTATTAACGTGGCTTCACACAGCATTGCTAAGGACCCTCATCTGGAAAATTATGTACGATTCTGGTGACTTACAAGCAGAAAAGCTTGACTCAGATTGCAACAGGTGCAGAGGAGGAATAGTGGGGTGACGGGGGAACGGAGCATCTGAGCTCTTGGGTGGGAGCTTAACGTGCAAGTGTAGCTTCCTTAGCTGGACAAATGAAGGCTGCAAAATGGCGTGATGATTCATTGTAAATACATTCGATGAGTAAATATCAAAGAAGGAAAACTATTTAAATTAATGAAATAATTATACAAGCAAAAAGATGTAAGTTAGGAATCAGTCGTGAAAACACTTGGACTGGAAAGCCAATGAACTTTCTAACCATTCCAGGAGTGAACAAACAGTGCTCTAGGCACAAGCACTTAAAAGATTTTAAATCAGGGCATGGTACTTTGATATATCCAAGGGGAATTTAAAGGGGACTGAGATGCTAACCTTTTCAATTGTACTTCTACCATTCCCAAACTTCAGGGCATCTTCTGGTCCTCCGTCCCTTCTACATTTAGCTTGTCATGGCTTTTTCAGCTGCCTCAGAAGCGCTGAAAATTAGTCAGAGGCAAGATGTAGAAAGAACTCTGGTGACATTAAATCGTCGGATGGTTTGTGGTGCATCTTGCTCATAGAAGTATGGTTGAATTGACTGGCAGATTTGGGTCACAAAGAAACCTTTTCTTTCAGGTGAGGCTAGTAAGGGTCTGTTTTCATAGAATCATAGAATGGCTTGGGTTGGAAGGGCCCTCAAGGATCATCAAGTTCCAACCCCCTGCCATAGGCAGGGCTGCCAACTGCTAGATCAAGTACTAGATCTGATTGCCCAGGGCTCCATCCAGTCTGGCCCTAAATTCCTGCAGGGACAGGGCATCCACAACATCTCTGGGCATTCTGTTGCAGAACCTCACCACTCTCTGAGTAAAAATCTTCCCCCTGACATCTAATCTAATTTTCCTCTCCTTTAGGTTAAAACCATTCCCCCTTGTCCTATCACTATCTTCCCTTGCAAAATGTTGTTTTCTGTCATGTTTATAAACTCCCCTTAAATACTGGAAGGCCACAACGAGGTCTCCCAGCAGTCTTCTCTTTTCCAGGTTGACAAAGCTCAGTTCCTTCAGCCTATCATCATAGGAGAAGTGCTCCAGCCCTTGCATCATCCTCATGGCCCTCACCTGGACCCTCTACAATAGCTCCACATCTTTCCTCTTCTGGGGGCCCCAGACCTGGATAGAGCTCCAGAAGGGGCCTCGCGAGGACAGAGTAGAGGGGGAAGATCACCCCCCTGTCCCGGCTGGCCACTGCTCTTCTGACAGTATCCAGGATACCGTTGGCTTTCTGGAGTGCAAGTGCACACTGCTGGCTCACGTTACGTTTTTAATCAACCAGGACACTTGAGTTCTTCTCAGCAGGGCTACTCTCAAGGAGTTTTTCTCCCAGTTTACATACATAT